ACTAGAATCAGGTCGTCAGGAGACTAGTACTGCACCGGGGGCTTGACCTACCTTTCAAAGCTCGCCTGGTTTACGATGTCGGGTTGTAGGGCTTAGCCTTGTGTGCAGTAGTGGCGGCTGTAGGGTTGATTGCTGAAAGAGTTCACTTGGCTTTGGGCTGGGGATTTTGGTTTGTTGGTTCGGGCTTGCGGATAGGGCTTATCGGTGGAGGTTTGGGGTTTGAGGTTTCTGTGCTTATCAGAGTCTTGAGCACGGAAGATGAGTTGCGGGCTCCACCAAGATTCTGTCAGACAAGTCGCCACCCTACACCCAAATACCTGAATCCCCAACTACGGAAACTGCAGCGTGGACTATTGTTGAACATTGGGTCACTCTCCTAAACCTATAAGCCCCAAAACCTGCTTTAAATATCTCAAACTCCAGCCCCTGCAGCCCTAAACCTGCCTTAAGACGAAATGTCCAAGGACGGCTATGGCCATGGGCACTGGCTTCACAATGACCATCCTCTTCCAGCGCCACTTTCAGCTGCTTTTGACCCCTGGTCCCTGTCTTGCAGGATGTAGGGTTCTTGGGTTGTTAGGGAGCAGCATTCACGCACCCCCCGCCCCGTGTTTCATGGTGGGTTTGGGGTTTATTCGTAGGGCTCATGATGCAATCATGGGTTTTGGGTTGGCTGTAGGGTTGAACTCTGCTCTCCGTGGTTCATGGTTGGTTTCCCCTCGCCCCCCCTGTGGTTCAACCCTCAGCCCTAAAACCCTGGGTTTAGGGTTTAGGGGTTTAGGCCTCAGGGTTTAGGGTTTAGGGTTTAGGGTCTCAGCCAAGGATTGTATTGAGAAAGGTCTTGTTGGTGTCGGCATATGCCGTACCACAGTCCTGGGATTCGTTTCATTACTGGACCAACGCTCTCATCAACAGTCTCTTGGATCACAACGCGACTTTTCTGAACTCAGACAAGCTCCCCACCACCACCCTCCCCAAACCCTAAACCTGTAGCCCCTCGTCCCGGCACCTAGGCAACACAGTTTACTTTTGCAAGGAAAGAGTGAAACGAATGAACACATCAAATTAACGAGCGATGTTAATGAGGGAGAGAACCGAATGAAGATACCGTAATGATATTGGATGTCCCGTAGACAACCTTCATGTCTTCATTCTTTCTCTTCACCTTCATTCCTAAGATGTGAATACAAGGGCTGTACAACTTTCATCTCCAACAAATAAAATGATGCTGTCTTTGTCGTCGCTTGGTGTTCATTGTCTTCTTCATCGCGAAGTTATATTTATTCTCGAAACCCGGCCAAACCTGTCGCCCAAAAGTTTCGTCCGCCACTTTCGATTTCCCAAATCAGAAACAGATGGCTCAAAACTTTCGCCCCAAAATCCGCTCGAAAGACTTTCCTACCCAAACCTTATACAATTGCAATAACACCCTATATACCAGGTTTTCCAGGCTTGGTCACCGGTCGCAGCCGGGGTTGCTTCATAACGTTAGGATGCGGATTTACTTTGCTTCTTTTGCATAGTCGATTCTGCCAGTTTCTACCATTGACCCCCCCCCCCTCCCCTACCCGCCTACCCTGCAAAACACAATCCACAACAACAGTTCACCATGCAACATAGCCAATAGCCACGACTGGGACCGATTTAGAAGAAGTTTTAAGTTCCAGCATTGGATTTTTAAGTTCCAGCATTGAATGCAAGGGGGGAGAGGGATCATTCTTGACGCAAGCCGTTGCCCTACTCAGTGTTTACGGTTTAGGTCTTTCAGAACCAGGCGATTGAAGTTGCGTTCAGCATGCAGCTGCTATTGTCTGCATGAGCCTCTGGTTAGTTTTTCAATCTAGGGGTGTTGCTATCAGCTTGTTTGCAGTTTAGATCTGGCACTAGGTGCGGTTTCTTGGAAAGGAAGTCCATGAACATCAATCCCATCGTCCGGAACAGTCCAACCCTCCCCTCCCCTCCCGGCCCCAAGCGCCAAAAGATTGTCCTACATTTGCTAACAAATCCCCAGGTGACTATGGCGGATGATTCTTTTAAAGCCCTCTTAAAGGACTCATACCCTATTTCACGTACTTCCTTTACCAGGAACCGGTAAGGTGAAGGAAGGAGCCCTAAATGCTAAGCCGGCCTTAAAACAGCTCCCCAGGTGAACCTCGCAGTCTCTACCTGCACCCACGGCTTCGCTTTGTTCTTGCTCTTTGGCTCTTGAGCAATGTTTGGGTTTTAGTGTTTTAGGGTTTCACGGTTTTAGGGTTGTAGGGTTTTAGGGCTTTAGACGGCCTTCTGGGTTCCCACTCTGCTTGGGTTATGTGGGGCTGCTAAACGCCTAGGCTCCTCGATGGACCCCGCTCCCGGTTTTGGTGCCTGGCACTGGAGTTGGATCAGGAAACGGCCGAGGAGCGTGGCGAATGCAGGGTGGCAGGTTTAGGGTTTAGGGTTAAGGGTTTAGGGATGCAATGATAAAACCTATAAACCGAAACTCTACATAGCGTTCAGGGCTACAGGGTTTTAATTGGGGGTTGAGGCTGCAGGTTTTTCGGGCTTTGCAGCGTTTGGGAATGAATGGTGAACTCTCATGGTTGGACCATAAATCCTCCCAAAACCCTCGGAAACCTCTGCCTCTCAACCCTCACCCTAGACTTCCAAGGACCTAATGATTTGGTTGCTGGCACGTACTTAAGGACACAACAATGACGTCCCTGGAAATAGAGCTTCAGAAGCCTCAAACCAGTTGCAGCTGTAAGTAAGACTGGAAGACCCATCCTGGTTGCCAGTCCCGTTTTACTGATGTGGATTTCGGGAGTGGATCTCCGGAAGTCTTCGGATAAGAGTTGAAGATTGGCGATCGAGGGTTCATACGGCCATGGCACATTCATACCATGTTTGTTGCCGTAGCTATTGGTGCGAGATGTTCCAAGCCTGAGTGTTTGCTTGTTTTGGGCGAGTTTCCTTAAACAATTACACGCTTTCATCCTTGACATCCGTAAGCCCTGAAACCCCCCAAACCCTTCAAGTACCCTACCCCTAAACCCTAAACCCTAAACCCTAAACTCTAAACCCTAAAACCTAAACCCTAAACCCTAAACCCTAATCAACCCAAGATGCAGAACCTTCCTTCCTATGTCCGAGTGCGGCCGAAGAGCGGCTCAGGAGCTCTTCCAAGATCAGGAGCCCAGCTTGCTCCTGGGTCCATGTCCGGGTTTAGGGCTTAGGGTTTAGGGTTTTGGGTTTTGGGTCTTGGGTTTAGGGTTTAGGGTTTAGGGTTTAGGGCTTAGGGCTTAGGGTTTAGGGTGTTAGGGTGTTCGGAATACATTTTGTTTTTGATTTCCGTTCTTTAGGGGTTTATTGTTTCCGTTTAAGGCCTTTGGAGTTTTGCTGTTTGCTTTCTCTTGCCTGGTTTATGTATATATATATATATATGTTGTTTTCTGAGTTCCATACATAAGCATGTGTATCAATATTTTGCTACCAAATATTTACACATATATGTAACAGGCGTGTTTATGAAAGGATCCTTTTTTCCACCCTGCGAGCCAAATCTGGGCCCCCCCTAGGCTCGAACTCGGTCTTTGGCGCAGCCGTCTATTGGTATTCCTCGCGCTGCGTGCTTGGGTGACACGGGGTTGGACGATTGACCCCAACCCAATGCCAACTTAGGGGATGTGGATGAACTGCTAGGTCTTGGTAAGCTTTCAATACTTCTTAACATATGTATATATGGCTAGAGTCGCAATTACAGAATCGCCTTTACTCGCGGTTCATTCTTGAAAATCTTTGCGCCGTATACTGGCAAACGGGTCCTTCGAACGGGCTGCTCCGGTCCTTGCAAGAATCAACTGCTGCGGGCGAGTGAGCTCTCATTCCAAGATGCCCCAAGCCAAGTTTGCTGTAGCCTGTTGGTAGCCCTAATCCCTAAACCTTAAACCCTTAACCCTAGACCGCAATGCCATCCAACACCCCAAGCCCGAGTCCCAACCCTCAAAACCCGAAGCCCTAGACCCTGTGTCCGAGGGGCTTTAAATTTAGGGTTCATATTGGGCTTAAGTCTAGGGTTCGGGGTTTGCACTTTAAAGCTTCGGGGTTGAGGGTTGAGGGCTTTAAGTCTAGGGTCCAGGCCTTAGCGTTTATGATTACCTCAACAAGATCTCGCAGCAAGTCAAAGCATGTGGCCACTTACGCCGACAGCCGGGGCAGCTTACCCGAAGCCCCAAACCCTAAACCCTAAGCTTTGGGATGTTCCCTTTATTCTTAATTGGGATTATAGTACCCCTCATTATTTTGATTATTTTTCTTATTATTATTCTCCCCATTAGGGACTGCCAGTATAAGGGGGGGAACATCCCAAACCCTAAACTGCTCAAAAGTTGACTGCTCAACAGTTGACTTGCGGGCGCGGAGAAAACATGGCGTGCTCGCGGGTGTAAGGTTGAGGGATGGGGATTAGTCTAAACGAATCTAAGCCCTAAGTTGCCAAACCTCGACCCGAAACCTAAACTTTTGTGCAGCTTGGGTCCCTGTCTTGCAGCCGCTTTGCATCTGCAAGCTTACGGTTTAGGATTTAATTAGGGTTCAGGGCTTGAGGCTAAAGGGATTTAGGGTTTCAGGGGTTTTGTGGCTTTGAGTTTCGGGTTGGAGGGCATTGGGGGTACTCCGCAGTGCCTAATTGTGAACCTCACGCTTTGCACCTCAACCTTCGACTCGCTGAAACATTGTTCTAGTAAAAGGGTCTTAGGGTCATAGGGTGTAGAATTGGTGTTATCCTCAATTTCCTGCACCCCATCCCTAAGCCTTTGGGACAGGATGCTCACGCAAAACACCGCAACCCCCCAAACCCCGAACCCCAAACCCCACATCCCAAACCTTGGAACCTTAAGACCTGACATACCCCAAGCCCTAAGCCCTAAGCCCTAAGTACTAAGCCGTGAGCCCTGAACTTCCCTGAGCCCTGAACTTCCCTGAGCCCTAAACTCCCTGTCCCCTGAACCCTCCGCTTCGCCGAGGATGGTCGTGACCCGGACCCCGACGGGCGCCTTCATGCAGGTGGGTGTAGGGGGTTTTAGGGCTTGAGGGTTGAGGGTCTAGGCCCTCTAGGCTCAGTCGGGAATGAGTTTAGGTCCCGATTTTGGCTCTTGGGCCCCTTACATGGGTTATGCAAGAGGCTGCAAGGTACCCTTGTTACATAGAAGTCCATACCAAAAACTAAAGGGCCCAAGCTGTGACTTGACTGAGGGCTTCGAAGTTAAGTTTGTGGTTTGGGACCCTAAGAGCCCCAAGCCCTCAACATCTGAAAGCCCTAAGCCCCAACTGCTGAACCCTATGCCTAAACATATACTGATGATTTGCTACAGGCCCTGAAGCTAGCATGAGAAGCTGTACCCGCCAACGCCCAGACACATGGAAGTTGCAAAGGCTAAGGGACATACGGCAACGTTCTCAAAACACAGGACCCTCGTTCTCTTAACCCCTCATGCAACTCCCCAAAGGTTGGCCTGAACGGTGCGACATGTGTAGGATGTAGGGTTTGGGATGTCGGGTGCAGGGTTGCGGGACGGAAGACGCGGGCGTGGGCAGGCGTGGCAGAGCTTGCCGCGCAAGGCTTCGTGCCTCGGACTCACACTGACTTTGGCCGTTAGGGTATAAGCCCTAAACCCTGAGACCCACACGCTCAGTGCTTGAAACCCCTGAACCCCGAAGCCCCTTAACCCTAAACCCTGCTTTTTTTTTGGGGGGGGGAGCTTGAAGGGTGAAGAGAGTCTACATGGGGATACAGAGAAGCTAGCGAGAAAAAGCGCTTAGTTGGAGCGTTCTGATGTCATTGTTTCAAGCCTGATTCCTAAACGATGCAAGTCCCAGGTCTATTTCCTGCGGGAACCGCCCAGCTTCTGCAAAGCTGCATAGACAAAAAGCTGCTTTGGGCGCTGGCGGATCGTGGGGTCGCAGTGGGCTGTGAACCCTAGAAGAGAAGAATGGGACGCCATTCCCCGTTTACTGCTGTGTCGAACTGGCTGCTAAGGGGCACTATCCGGAAGTTGGGCGGCACCCGAATGTAAGCAGCCGAAAGCATATCTACGGTCAGCACGAACCATACGAGTTTGGGGCTTAAGGTCCAGGGTAGTTTTGGGTTGAAGGAATTATTGGCGAAATACATTCGGTCTCAGCGTAGAACACCGAAGCCCTGCAGCTCAAAATCCAGATCCCTAAACCCTCAGACCCATGACCACCGACCCTCAATCCACAACCCATATCTGTATGTATGTATGTATGCATGTATGTATATTTAAATAAGTAAATAAATAAATATATATATATATTCACATACAACGAAAAATCACGCAGATATGTGAAATATACGTGTCAACTGTAACTATATTGGTGTCTCAAATCAACAGGCTCAAGGTTCACGTGTTGGCGAGCCACTGACAAAACTCTTCACCGCCCCAGACACAAATCATACACATGGTTTCTGGAGGTTTGTTGTGGGTTCGTCGGAGCGGCTGCATGGGAGGCTTTTGAGGCTTGAGTGACAATATCCAAGGGCTGCAAAAGCCCTATGACCATCCAGTTTAACGAGGGTTTGGGTTGCGTGCTTTAGGGGTTCAAGGGAGGAGGTGGATTCTTTTAAGGCCAGGAGATTCAGTTTTACGAGAACGGGGCTACAAGGGGGTGGCTGGGCCTTCGATGAGGAGTTGGTTCTCTTGGTTTCGGGCCTACATTCAGGTTCCCCACCTTTGTTTTCAGTCTTCCCGTGGCCGCCACTGCGCCGATATGGGTCCCGCAAGCGAGCGGCCCGCTCGCAAGCTGGTCCTTCACTTCGATCCTTGGGGACGATTTTTTAACCCTAAGAATTGGAGTCATATACCCTGAACTACTAGAATCCTGTTAAGGTATATGAGCCATAAGCCCTTTTAGGGTTCATGTCCTTCCCAAGGATGTGAACGAGACCATCATGGTGGGGGATCCGGCTGCTGCAGTGGATTTCGGCTCGTCTCTCAACAACATCATCGCAAAGGCGACCTTCGTGTCGGAGACGGGGGAGACCTGGCATGACGGCTCGCCCCTGGACCGCTGTTGAAAAAAAGCAAAGGCAACATGTTCCCAGCAGGGTCGAGGGCATAGGGGTGTACTTAGTGGTTCTTACGAGGCATTTAAGGGGATCAGGGTCCCTGTGCAGTTCCTAAAGGGCCCATCTTGGGGGGAGAGAAAGCACCCGATTTCCCTAACTCCCTACAAAGAACTACTTACTCTGCTTAAGGCTCCGAAGGTCGGATTGCCAGCAACTTTCATGAGAGGCCTCTGTCAGATCCTTTTTTTGACCCTGGCTTCAAAGAAACCGTTAGGTTGAGGTTTGGAGCATCCCGAAATTAACCTTATCACGACATTCCCGCACCTCCCGAACCTTAAGACCTACACATCCCTAAACCCGGTGCCAAACGCCTTATGAACCCTAAACCCTAACCCTGAAACCCTAAACCCTAAACCCTAAACCCTAAACCCCTAAACCCCTCAGCCCCTGAAAGGACCCGACCTTGCGCTCTGGTGGTTCCGTTCCTCCCCTGGTCACCGGCTTCGACACGCCTCCCGGCTGTGACCGGTGCTTCTACAGGCCGGGAGGCTTTTGAGGGGTTTAGGGTTTAGGGTTTAGGGTTTTAGGGTTTTGGGTTTTAGGGCTTAGGGTTTAGGGTTTAGGGTTTAGGGCTTGTAGGGTTTAGGGTGATGCCCGGAGTGGTCGCACAAGGCTGCTTGAATCGCTCAAAAGGGTTTCGCTGTGAAGCGAAAATCAGGTGCCAGTGGCATCACAAACACGCGCGAAACAAGAAGTGATTGGAAATATCCTGAAGCTTCCTGATTGTATGCCATGGGGCTTAGGGGTTAGCTTTAGGGTGTAAGGAAACCTGGTGACTTGTTTGAAGTTTGTGCCTCTACGAGCCAGGAAATCACCTGAAATCACAATGCCAGCTTCCTAGCACGTCAACCAAGAAAAGCCAGACAAAATTCAATCACGTATCATGTGCTGCCTTATGCCTGACACGCGACCCCACTCATTTACACCACGGTTGCTGGTGGCGTGCGCGCCAGTTGCCTGGTAATTATTTTCCTGCTTGCTTCTGTTCTTTGTTCTCGGCTTTTCTGGGTTTTCCTCAGGGCTTGGGTGGGCGGGGATGATAACGTCCGTTTCTTCGGCGACCATGCCCAAAAATCACCGTCAAAGCCTGGTATTTACAGCGTTGTTGCCTCTTTGCACAACATAACGCAAAAGGATGTTTGATGTGTCTGCAACAAGAAGCGCTGTCACGAGCACTCGGGACTGTCGCGAACATGCCAAAAAACGTTTGTATTTACGGCATTTTTGCTTCTTCCCACAACATACTGCGCAGGCTTGCTTGCGCTATCACAAGCGTTCATGGTTCTTTGTGACAACCAACTTCTCTAAACAAGCAATAGTTAGAGGTTTTTCCAAACCCTTTTTTCTTGAAGAGAGTAGGTTTTACCCACATTCAAGCACCACGAAACCACCAGGCACCTTGTGCGCTGCGACCTAGATACCCTCAAGCCTGCCATAAACTCTTTGCCCGGCCAAAGCTTTCCTACTACGGCCTGTAGTGTAAGGACTTTAACCCCCCCATCATACAACAAACAAGCTAAATTCCGAGACCCTAAACCCCTAAGTTATCAGTCCCGCAGGTGCCGCCGTGACCCGAGCTGGCCAGCGAATCGCTTGACGGAGCCAGGAACACCAGGCCTGTTAAAGGGCAGTCTCAGATTTTTAAGGGTTTCGGGTTTAGGGTTTAGGTTTTTTTTTTGTGGGTTCGGGGTTTATGTGCCGGCCGAAGGCCGAAGGCTTTTAGGGCCGAAGAGGCCTAAGCCCTGCAAGCTCCCAGAAAGGTGCCATCTACCGCCCCCTGCAACCTGGATGCACTTGGGAGACCGCCTTGGAGCCCCACGCAGCAGTTTTTGTTCTTTTGAGTTTTGGCAGCCCTAAGCCCTTGTGATAAATCCTACAAGCCCACACAAATCAGATAAATCCTACAGACCGCGCAAGAAACAGCCCTCTAAGCCAAGAGCCATTCAAGCTCTGCCAGCCCTACGCCCTGAGCGTAAGCCCTAAACCTCACATTCCCTAAGATTACTGTTGGTTAGCCGGGAATGAGGGAATTTGGGCCCTCTATATAAGGGATTATATAAGGTGCCTCATTCCCCCATTCCCTACTGTCCAACAGTAAGTAAGCGTTAAGGTATGAGGAGCTCGGGGAGTCCCTGAGCTGGAAGTATGAGCCGGATGAGGTCTTCGCTCCAGGCGCTGGGTGGCAGGAGTCGACTGTTGACCAGCTTCCCCTTTGGGGGGATGTAGGGTTCGGGAGTTTTTTGGGGTTTTAGAGTATAGGGCTTTGGGACTCTTAGGTATCTGACCCAGAAGCCGCCAGAAGCAAGTCCCCATGTTTCTTGGTAAGGTTAGGCCTAAACCCTACACATCTAAACCTTAAACCCTACACCGTGCCTACGTCGCGTCCCTGAAGCCCTATAAGCCTCAGGCCTTCAGGCCCTGAAACCCTGAACCTCAAGGCCCTGAACCCCAACCCTAAACCCTAAACCCAAAATAGGTGGACATCACTTCTTGCTTCCCGCCTTCTTCCGCACGCTGGTGGAGCTGGGCAAGCAGGGCCGCGACTTCTCGGTGGTCATCCGCACGTCCCGCTGCCCACAAGATGCCGTGTCAGGCTTCAGGGCTGTACTCATGGGATTTAGGGTTTCTGGGCTTAGGCTTCAGGGTAGGAACTTGAGGTTCAGGTCAGTTTTTGAACCGATCCCCCACCCCCCCCCCTCCCCCCCAAAGAGCCCTAGGCCCCTAAGCCACCAACTACCCTCCAACCTTGGGCTTTGTCGTGCGTTAGTAGGTAAGAAGAGAAAGCATCCTACTCGTCCCCTGGCCCTAATTAAACCCTAGAACCCCTCATAAGCCCCAATAAACCCTTATTTACCCTAGAAGAAACCCTAGAAGCCTGATAAACCGTAATGAACCCTATAAAGCCCTTCTCAGCCCTTATAAACCCTTATCGACCCTTCTAAACCCTAGACTACCTGGCGCAAGGTTCGGCACCGACATCCCAGAAGTGGCCAGAAGCATCGGGAAGTTTGCTGAGGGCGCGCATCCGGGATTTCCCTTCAAGGAGGAGCGATGGAGGCTCTTGGGCAGAGGATTAGGGTGTAGGGTTTGGGGTTTGTAGGGTTTGTATTTCTGGGTTTGTAGGGTTTGTAGGGTTTGCATTTCTGGGTTTGTAGGGTTTGTAGGGTTTGTATTGTAGGGTTTGTAGGGTTTAGGGTTTGGGGTGTAAACCCCGAGGCCCTGAAGCCTAGATCCTACACATACAGCATCCTGAACCCTCGGGGCTATGTAGCCTCATGTAGCACCCTAAAGCCTTGAAGCCCAAATCCCCCAAACCCCATCACCAAACTCAAAAGCACAAGCTAGCCCCAACATTCAGCCATAAGCCTAAACCCTAAACCCTCAACCCTAGACCCCAAACCCCAAACCCTAAACCCTAAACCCCCTTTGCAACTCCTTTTAGGTCGGCGCCCGAGCAGTCGCACTGGGCGCTGCGACCCCTGGAGAGGTCATCGCCATCGAGCCCTTTCGTGTTCCTTGCGGGTGATTCGGGGGTTTAGGGGGAATTGGGGTTTAGGGCCGTTGAGGGCTTGGGGCTTGGAATTTTAGGGTTTAGGGCTTTTTGGGGGTCCGAAGCCCTGAACCCTCTAAACCCTAAATGTGTTTGCAGGGCTTGAGGAGTGGCCTTTCGGGTTCAGAGGCGGTGGCTTCGGGGCATCCTGACATCGTGTTGTGCAAATGACGGTCGTGGCTTCGGGTTTACGGAGCCTAAGCCCTAAACCCTCACCCCTAAACCGTTGGAGTTTAGTGGGTGAAGGCCGCCGCAGCAGCAAGTCAGAAGCTACAAGAAGGCAGCCAACCGTGATCCTCTACTCTTAAGCCCGAAGTTCTAAACCTCAACACGTTCCGATCCCTCAAGCCAGAGACTCCAAAAAGCCCATGGGGATATGAGCCCTCTGAATCGTTCAAAGCTCAGACCCGCCATGTGGTGCGAGAAACTGGACTCTTGCCGCCCAAGTATCCCCCTAGTACCAGCTTCCTTACTACTGATTTCAGAAAAAGGGTACCGCCAGTTTTCAGAAACCCCCCCTGTCAACCGAAACTACGACCCGAGCCCTGACGTTTCAGCCCTCAGCCCTTGAAGTTGGTCTTCAGAGTCCCAAGCCGAGGCTGAGGAGATATGAGGAGCCTTGGCGCCAAGAGCTGAGACCATAGTTTGTAGGGGTTCACGGCTTCATGCTTCGGGACTACTGTTTCTAAACCCTGGACCCTAACCCTAAACCCTAAACCCTTAACCCCTAAACTCTTAACCCTAAACTCTAAGCCCTAAGCCCTAAGCCCTAAACCCTAAACCCTAAACCCTAACCCTTCAACTGGGGAGCACCCAAGAGCACCTAAGGAGTACACTGGCATTGAGGGCCTGGGAGCAGATCTCACAGCCCCGGAGACCCTCAAGTACACGGAGGAGATGCCCGGCCCAGCCAGGGTTTGGGGTTCAGGGTTCAGGGTTCAGGGTTCAGGGTTCAGGGTTCAGGGTTTAGGGTTTAGGGTTTAGGGTTTAGGGTTTAGGGTTTAGGGCTAGGGTTTAGGGGATAGGGGCACTCGAGAGCCCAGCATCCAAAGCCCTAAGCAGTGAAGCCTGAACGCTGGCCCTGGTTTACGCAGCAGAAGACTTTGCATTCTATCATGTTGCGGGTATTTAAGGAGTCCCCTATTTTGTGGACATGCCCAAGTTGCTGTTTCGCCCCTTCAGCCCCAAACCTTTAACCTCTGAGCTCTATACCCTGAACTCAAACTGTTGCGCGTCTGTTGTTTCGGTGACAAGACTTGACCCCAAAGGGCTACTGCGTAGTTCCCCTCCTGCTTTGCATCTTGGAGAGTTTAGGGTCTTGGTTTCGGGTTTAGAGTGGGAGTGAGTTTCAAGCTGCAGACACTCACTTACTGGTCTTAGTAGAGAATGTTAGGGAGTTAGGAAACTTGTATCGCCCTGTAGAACCCTTTAAAGGGACTTTATAGCGGGAGCCTACTTCCCAACATTTCCCACTCAGAACCAGTGATTCCCTCCCTTGCGGAACCCAGGATCGAAGAGAGCCGAATTCCCGACTTCCTGGAAGCCGGCCCGGTGGTTTGCGTGCGGGATGACTACTTCTACTGGAAGGGCAACCGCTACCGCCCACAGACAGGCCCTTACGTGTAGTTCCTTGGGTTGTTCAAGTGCATGGTTTGTTTTGAAATGTCACGAGAACAATCATGCACCCCGGAACAAAGGAAATGCACCTAGGGTCCAGGTCGGATCGATGGCTGAAGTTTGTGATACGTGAAGTCGGCCTCGAGTGGAAGTTCAATTTGAGGGTTTTCGTTGCAGTACTAAACAGCTCGCACTTCGAGCTTGAAGGCCTTGTAAAATGACAAGTGAAACAGGGAAATCCCATCGGCAAGCCTGACGGAAGAACTGTTGACCTGGATGATGCCCAAAACAGCTGCAGGAGACAGTTAGAGTTGCTGGCTTTCGTGGCGTCGGGCTCTGAGGGTTTAGGGTTTGAGCTTAAGGGTTTGGGCTTGGTCCTAGGGCTTAGGGTTTGGGATCTCGTCAGGGTTTCACTGTATACCGAGGTTAACCTCCTTTACCCCCGTTCTCGGATTACGGGGGCTTAGTTAGTCTTTTAGGACTTGCTGTTGCGCAAACCTTTCTAGTCAGTTTAATGAGGGTTTCAGGGTTTAGGTTTCTAGCCTTGCTGCAGGGCAAGCAATGCGGCAATGCCCCGGCTAGGAAAGCCGCTGTGGCTGACGCTCCATGATGACAGCGTGCCTTGGGGACGAAATGGTCAGTTATCAACATTATAGTCCGCCTTATAACAAGTACCCCAAAAAGGACCATGATGTAGAGAAACCACCAAATAATCGTGGGGATGACATGAACCCAAATCGGGTTTGTGCTTAGGATTTAGGGAGCTACTAACAAGCCAGAAATCTTCTAGATATCTATAGACCACAAGCTATCTAGGGCTCGTTTCGTCCACAAGGTTCAGCACATCTTCTTCGACGACAACATCCACAACGATCCTTAGATGTTCTCGATGCTTTTGAACGTCTTGCAAGTCACAGCCCTAAGAAGCAGGGGAAAGAATAGCTCAAATACCGCGCCAGAGAAGGATCCGAACGACTCCATCGTCGGCATCCGAGCCCGGGAGTCAACTGCCGACAGTTTCCGAGCGATCTCCGGGGAAGCCACGCGGAAGCTCGAAGGAGTCTTCCTTGCCAGCTGGCACCGAGAGAGAAGGTGGCAAACTACCCGGGGGGTGTAGAGTGCCCATCTTTTGTTCATGAGCTTAATTTAAGGCTTCTTCGGGCTTCTCGAGGCCTGTTTTTGGGAACATGGGCCCTTAAACCGTGCTTCCTTGTGACAGATCCGAGGCCTGAAACCCAAAAGCTGAATCCCACGCTGCAACGACTCCCACCGCTAACCCTGAGCTTTGAACTCCTAAAGCATCCTAAAGTTTAAAGCCTTAAAGCCCAAAAGCATGAAGGGTTTATGAAGGCCCTCCGAAGGCCTCAGCCCTAAACCCAAAACCCCCCCAAAACTTCGGAATTTCCCAGGTCAAGGCCCAACCCGTGGACGCCATCCGCGACCCTGAGTACTTCTTGAGGATCGGGGGTTTTTGGGGGGGAGGCTACGCCCAAACCCCTTGAATCTGAAGGGTTTCTGGGTTTTGGAGAACTTTACTTTAATACTTGTTGTTGATTCTGGGTTCCTACTATAGCCCCGTATACCTAAAGAGTATATACTTTTTTTTCCAGGGTCTACTGCACAGTAGGGGTTTTAGGGACCCGGGGCTTTTGGGTTGTGGGGTTTCTTTTGGAGCTGGGGCTTTAGGGGCTTGGAGTTTAGGATGTTGGGGTTTAGGGTTTATAGTAGCGGTTTACAGGGCTTATAGGGTTTTTAGGGTTTAGGGTGGTGACTCTAGGCTGTTCCGGCTTCTAGGTTTGAGGGCCTGTGACTTTAACTTGGCTTTCGTGAACGAAGTCCCTGCTTGGCGCTTGTCAAGCCCTGAAACTTCTTTGTGGTGCTTTACTGTAACTTTAGATCCTTAGCCTTTTTTGGGGGTTTATTGGGTTTCCTAGTAAGGCAGCTAAAGATTTTATTTTTTTAGCTACCCTCCTAAGTGCAGCCAAGTCTGTGAGCTCAGGATCAGATCCGGGTCTGTTCGAACCCAATGCCCTTCTCTTGGAATCCTACGACGTAGGGGGTCGGAATAGTTACTAAGAGTCTTCCCTTAGGGGCTCCCTTTATACATTTTGTACTCTAAATTCCAGCAAAGCCCTAGATTCTAATTCTTCAGCCCCCCCTATAGTAAGCCCTAAAACCCTAAACCCTAAACCCTAAACCCTAAACCCTAAACCCTAAACCCTAAACCCTAAACCCTAAACCCTAAACCCTAAACCCTAAACCCTAAACCCTAAACCCTAAACCCTAAACCCTGCAAGCCCCAAAAACCCCTCAGCAACCATCCTGTAGGTGCATCCGCCGCTGCGAAGAGAGCTTCGATCGGATGCGCGAAGATGGCAGCCTGAGACATCTGCTTTCTACTGCCTGAGGTGAGCTTGGAAAAAATGTCCGTGGGGCCGCCCTACACCTCGCTGGGGTTTTTAAGGGTTTTCGGGTCTGTGGGGCTTAGGGAAACCCTTGACTCTTGACTTGATTGAAACCCGAAAACCCTTAACTCTAAACCCTAACCTCCTAAACCCTATCTCCCAAGGCCCTGGCGAAATCTCCAAAGTTTTCCCTTTTTAGTAAGGGTTTGCACAAGGGTGGCTCCTTTAGGGCTTAGGGGTTTGAGGGTTTGGGGATGTAGGATTCCGGGTCACAGGCTCAGGGTGGCTTGGGTGTTTGGGGTTTGGGGATGTGGGATCCGTGGCTTGGTTTAGGGTTTAGGGTTTAGGGTTTAGGGTTTAGGGTTTAGGGTTTAGGGTTTAGGGTTTAGGGTTTCGGGTTTAGGGTTTAGGGTTTAGGGTTTAGGGTTTAGGGTTTAGGGTTTACACGGAAAGAAAAATCTCGGGCTTCTTCCCGGCTACCCGAAGGTGCCATCCGACCGAGACTCTTGCCCCGGAAGCCTTTGCGTGCAAAGCTGCGCAGGCATCCAGGGGCCTGGCTGGGGGGGGTTCAGATGCCCCCCTGTCAATGCTTCAAGCAAGTTTAGGGCTTAGAGTTTGGTCCTACAGCCCTCCCATAAACCTTAATCCATGAAGCCCTTTAAAGCTTGAAGCTCTAGCCTAGAGCCGCAAACGAAAGCAAGCCCCGCGATGCGCCAGGCAACATCACTGCCCCAGCGCCCACGAGCGATCCTGTCAATGGAACGCCGGGATTCCCGAAGCCGGGTTTAGGAGTGTTTGTGAAATCGGGTTTGGGGGTTAGGGTTTTGAGGTTTCGAGGGGTTTCGGAGCTTTTTCAAGCCGGGGTTCGGATTCAGGGCCTAAATTCAGGGTTTGTTGGGCGGGTTTGGGGGCCTTCGGGTTCAGGCGGCTTTGGGGGGTTCAGGTTGTCGGGTCCGCAGATTCTGCATTGGGAAATTTGGGGCTTAGGGCTTTGGGTGTTAAGGTTAGTTCAGATTGCTTTTCCCAAGCTCCGAAAATTATCCCTTGAACCCTAAACCCCTGAACCCTTGAGTTGTATTCATACATGGGGACTGGAACTTGCTTAGAATCGCCGCCGCGTTCATCCTACTGTACTTGCCCAGGGGGGAGCGGGGCAAACTTAACGTAGGGCCTGTTTACGGGTTCAGGGTTTACTGCAGGGTTTGGGCTTCAAGGGGTTAGGGTTTAGGTTTTACGGTTTAGGTCCCTTCCAAAAAGGATCTTCATCTAGGTTCCCCGCATGACCCCAGCTTGGTCACCGAAATATTCTTCGCTCCCGAAGCCTCACAATCTTGCGTGAAACCCAAAAAAAAACCTAAACCCTAAAAACCTAAAGAACAGATCTGAGAAGTAAAGGGCAAGCCTCGAAACCTCGAAATCCCTCGACCCGACAAACGCTCGAACGTCTCAGGTTTCCAGCGCTCTTGGTGTACATACCCGCCCCGCCCCCAGGGGATCGCATCCAAATCCAGAGGGTCGCTTTGCAAGTAGCTTCGGGGTTGATCTGCCGGCAGAAGCTCCAAGACAGGATATAGTTTTGAACTAAATGTTCAGGGTTCAGTTTAGGGTTTAGGGGTTTAGGGTTTGGGGATTTGGGGTCTAGGGATTATTTAGGCTTTAGGGATTAGGGTAGGGTTTAGGGAAGTCCCCAAATCCAAAAATCCCAAACCCTAAGCCTTAAACCGCAAACCCTCATCGAATTTGGGAGGACTGCAACCCCAAAAGATACAGATTGCTACCCTACTACAACCCCCTGATATCAAAAAAAAAAAAAGCTGGCAATTGGGAACCTGGGCAAGGTACAGCACCCTGCGGGTTGACTGTTTGTTTTGGGCTTCGTCAAAGGCTTAAAACACTATTGTTGTGAGGGTAAAGGGTCTAGACAAGTTAAAAAAGGCCGAATTAGAATTTCTGAAAAGAGTGCCCCTAGGCCCTTACGATGCTTTAGGTTTTGCAGGCCGTTTACGAGCCCGCACTCTTGAACTCTGGCACGTACCAGAGACGTTCTGTTCTGCAACTAAATCCTCAATCCTTACCCCTAAACCCTAAACCCTACAAACGCTCTATAAACCCTACAAGCCCTATAAACCCTAAACACCACTATCTCTAAACCCTACATGCCCTCTGAGCCCTAAGGCAGCCGAGGCGTCTGAAACAAGCCCTAGCCTCGAAGCCCCAGAACCTGACATCCTGGACTCTGCAGCCCTTAAGGGTTTGGGGTTTAGGGTTTAGGGTTTAGGGTTTAGGGTTTAGGGTTTAGGGTTTAGGGTTTAGGGAAAACTCCGAACTTTGGGGAACAGGTTTAGGGTCTCTAGGGTTGAGGGCTTTGGGTCAAACATCTGATGTTTGAGGGACAGGGTTCAGGTCTACAGGGTTGAGGATCCATGGTCTACCCTAAACCATCCTAAATCCTAAACCCTAACCCGTTACCTCTAAGTCCACCTAAGTCCTCCTCAGGCCAGTATTGTTGGGGTTCTGCTGTGCTGTGGCAGCCTTTTGCTCTACCGCTGCTTGAGGAGGAGCTGTGCGACCTGCGAGCAGATTTAGGGTTTTGGGTTTAGGGCTTAGGGGTGCTAAAGTGGCCACGGCCTTATAGTCACCTAGGGGTTAGTTGTAGAGGATTTGGGCTTTAGGGTTTCGGGCTTTCGGGTTTCAAAGCAATTGTTCCTGTGGGAGAACACCCTGACCCCTACACCCTACCCCCTACCCCTGGACCCCAAAGTCCAATCAAGACGTTGTCATGTCATGTCCTACACCTCAAAACCCTCAAGCCCCGAAACCCTCAACCCGGCTAAACCCTGTACACCCTCTACGCCCTATGCACCCGATTTCCACCCAAAAAAACCCCTAGAAGCCCTAGAAGCCCTGCAAGCCTCTGAGCCCCTATAAGCCCGCAGCCGTGTACGCCGGGTTTAGGGTTTAGGGTTTAGGGTTTAGGGTTTAGGGTTTAGGGTTTAGGGTTTAGGGTTCAGGGTTACATGGTCCCTTAGTATGGGCCCTTAAGAGGGGACCCCTTGTATACCGCTATACAAACCAAGGGCCCATACTTCCGAACCCTTTGAAGGAGGTACAGTAGGAACTGTTAAGGGACCATGTGACGACCCTTAGCTACAGGGTTTGGGGGTTTATGGCTGTTCCAGAACCCGGCTTCAAGAGATGCGGGCATATAGTGCGGGCCACCCGACCACCCCAACCCTCTAAGCCCTGAAACTAGGAGCCACAGGACTAGGATTTCCTTAGGGAACCCCCAAACAGAGCAAAGAGCCCCGCAAAGGCAATCGGAATTGTAATGGTTCTTGCTTCCATCTAGAAGTTGAATTTTGAGGTTCCTTCAGCTATTTCCAGTTACTAAACACTATAAACAGCAACCCCAACCAACCTCTAACAAACCTCCTGTGCCCCTGGGCCGTGAACGCCAGGAGCGGCTTCTGCACCAAACTCCCCAGCCCAAGTCTGCCCAGCGCGGTGCGGTTCCGCAGGCTCAGACCCGAGATGTTCTTGGGTTGGGGGGAGGGGTAAGGCTTAGGGTGGCAGACTTCACTGCCGCAACTCAGAAGGCGGGCGCTGAAACCCCAGAAGACTGGTTAGCCCCAGAAGAGTGGTTAGAAGAAGGACCCCTCTGGGCTCTTCTCGACTCCCTTCTTCCGGAGGAACTTCACACCAAACGCCTTGAGAACCCCAGCCCCCATCAGGGCCAAACTTAAACCCCCCTATCAGAACCCTTACCCTTGAACCTTACCAGGTCAGCCCTATAAAAGTGGCCCCAATCCCTAACCTAAGCACAGCTCCCAACCTTCGCAGAACATGGGGGTTTAGGATGTAGGACTTCCTGGTAGGAAAGAGCCGACCCCTCAGAGCAGCACTGCCCTGGCGCAGCACCTCGAGGCGTGGCTCTCTTTGCGTACGATGTTTCGGGTTTAGGGTTTAGGGTTTAGGGTTGAGTGGGATTCCCTATACTGAAGCCGCGCTTACTTCCCTATCGCTATTCATTCGTCATTCAGCCCCTACGGTAGGGTTTATCGGGTTCAGGCTGTAGGGGCGAAGACCAGAAACCCTAAACCCTATACCCCAAACCCGTGAGGCGGTCACACACCGGGCACTTTACGGACCGGCCGAGCAGGAGGCGGGGTTTTGCCTAAACCCTGTAAACCTCCCTAGGCCTTTGACTCTAAACCCTAAGCCTGCAAACCCTGTACCCTAAATCCTGAGCCTTTGTCTTAAGAGGAGTTCGGGTTCTGAAAACGAAGCTCGGGGCCCTAATCCCTGAACCCATGGGACCCTGGACCCCGGTCCCGAAGAAGCCCTCAGCCCAGATCCTTAACCCCCCATACACCTCCCTAGCCTAAACCCGAAATCCAGAAGTCACCCTCAGCCGAAAAATCCTGCGATAGAACCAGGTCGCCGTGAGCGAAATCCGCCTGCCTGCCACATGGTCTTCCCTGGATCCGGGCCGAAACAAGACCCAGGCAGGTGTAGGGATTTAAGCGTACCCAAACCCAACCCTAAACCCCAAGTCCTAAACCCTAAGCTCTTATAAGTTTAGGGGGTCGACACGAGCCAGCGGTTCCCCGCTTTTTGGTTCTTTAGGTTTTGTTGAGGGCTTGTTTGGTTCTTTTGGGGTTTCAGGTTGCAGTGTGTGTTTTTTTTTTTCTTTTTTTTTTTTTGGGGGGGGGGGGGTGTTAAGGTGACCGAGGTTTCAGGTCTTTGTTCCGGGTCTGGGCTGAATGTGTTTAGATGTTGGGATAGGGTTTGGGCTTTAGGATCCAGGGTTTAGGCTGTGGGATCCAGGGTTGCTTTTTGTTGACACTGTCGAGCAGCGGTTTTCGTTTGCGGGCATAAGACTGCACAATGCAAGCAGTTTGGTTGCAAAGTACGGCCTTATAAAGCCTAAGGCCTAAACCCTACACCGCGATATAGACCTAAATCTAGGTATTTAGACCCTAAACCCTGTTGGACCCTGTAGCTGTATGAATATAGACGCTGAACCCAGAACCTCACGTCGGAAGTGCGAGACCTTGCGCAAAACGGTACTAGGCTGAAGCTAAGATGCCTAAACGACGACCCAGCACCCTGAACCCGAAGCCCTAAACCAAAGAGCGCTTGGTACATGTGGCGCTCAGGGTTTAGCAGTCAGGGTGGGCCTTGGCCTAAGTAGACCGCCCCAGTTGTGTTCTTAGCCGACAGTAGAGGTATGAACTTCAACCATCATTGCCCCAACAAAATCTCGCAACTGCTTCCATCGCTCCCTAGCCCCTTCCTAGACCCCCAAAACATCAACCAAGCCCGAAACCCTAAACCGTAAACCCTAAACCCTAAACCCTAAACCCTAAACCCTAAACCCTAAACCCTAAACCCTAAACCCTAAACCCCACCGGCTGGTTTAGGGCTCTAGTTCTGGATTTACAGGGCCTACGTGTGCTTGCGTGAGGCCCGGAGCCCTGGATCCTGAACCCTGAACCCTGAAACCCTGAACCCTGAACCCTGAACCCTGAACCCTGAACCCTGCGTCAGAGGACCTCCCCATCGCCAAGCTGTGGGAGAGGTGGGAGGAAGAGGCCGCAAAATGCGTGAGCCTAGGTTGCTATCGAGGGCTGTAGGTAGACTTGCCGGGATATCTCATGCATACACGTTTTGGTTTTGAAGAGCACCTTATTGGGAGTATGTTTCCCGGCGGTTTACAAGAAAGCCCCCTAATACCCTTGCAGCCGCCTCTCCCCGACAGGAGCACCGATACTTGGGCACCAGTTCTGCAGAGCAGGCAAGTGCAGGGTTCAGGGTTCTAGGGTTCAGGGCTTTAGGGTTTAAGCTTTTGGCCAAGTAAGGATGCGATCCCAAATTCCGAAAACCCTCACCCCCCCCCCCCTCCTTACCTCCAAATAGAAAGAACAGCAATAGTTTTAGGCTAAAGCTTTAGGTGCCATGCCGGTCTCAAGAAATACTTTGGGAGTTCTTGGGCTTAGGCCTTGTGGGCTTGGGCTGAGGGATCTTCTTCTTGGGACTCTCAGGGCCGAACTTATAGAGTCACCCAAAACCCTAAACCCTAGACCCTCAGACAAATCCTCCGCCCTTAGCCCGCAACCCACAACCCGAAGCCCTAAACCCTAAACCCTAAACCCCAAACCCTAAACCCGACACTGGGGGCAACTGGCCCAGGCACAGCTGGTTGGCAAGTCCGGGCTCTTTGATGGCAGGCACTTCGGGGACCCCCGGAGGCTTAGGGCTTTAAGGGTTTAGGTTCGAGGTTTTAGGGTTTTAGGGTTTAGGGTTTAGGGTTTAGGGCTCAGGATTCAGGGTTCGGACTTACGATGCTTGTGGGAGTTGACATCGAACCTCTCTTGGTCCCTAATGCCCAAACCTCAACAGGGTTTAAGGCCATCGTTCCCTAATCCCTTCTTGCCCATGCCACGGGTGCCACACGCTCCTGATTCAACGCCCTAGTCATCCCGTTGCAAGCCCTGCACCCCACGCGGAATCCCTGAAGCCTGAGCCTCTTTGGGTCCCAGGCACCTACAATCCTCTTAAACAAACCTGAAACCTAACCCTCTCAAGCCCTCATCCTTAAGGTTCATGCCTCCCCCTTCAGGGTTTAAGGTTTGGCGGTTACTCGTAAGCCCTAACCCTAAATCCTAAACTCTAAACCCTAAACCCAATTCTTTGAAACCCTCAACTGCGAGGTCCTCCTGGTCTCGGAGGATTCCAGCACCGCCCGCACGGGGCGGGCGTCAGGCTAGGGTCCTAGGGTTTGGGGTTTATGGTTTACTAGGGCTCGTTAGGGTTTATTCGGGTTTCTGCTAGGGTGTGTTGGGCTTTTGCTTCTCAGAGTTTATTCGGAGTTCTTGGGGTCTACGGCGTTTGCCAGGCTACATGATTGGCCGGGTGTCGCCTTGGTCTCCGGGCCAGGAGACCTCCAGAGAATCCGATAGAGTATCCCTGAAATGCCCAACCCACGGAACAAACCCCAAAAAGAATCCCTGCGGGGCCAGGCAGGCCCGCAGAGCATCCCAAGAGTGCCAACCCCCACCCCAGAACCTCTTGAGCGCACAATCCCAGGGGATCTTGCAGAAAATCCTGGAGTGCCCAACCCAACCCTGAACGCTGCAGGGGGGCTTGCGTGGTTTAGGGTTCAGTTGCTGGCAGGGTTTAGGGTTTAGGGTTTAGGGATTAGGGTTTAGGGTTTAGGGTTTAGGGTTTAGGGTTTAGGGTTTAGGGTTCAGGGCACCCACAGCGGCTGCACCTGGGAGGCGGGTGACCCTGCACATGCCAGCGCCATCCCCGAGGACCAAAGGCCAGAAACCGGGGAACCCGGGTAACATAGGGGTCGAAAGAATTACTCGTAGTGTTCTCTTGGGGTCCCTTTATAAGTACACTATAAGAACCCCCCCCCAAAATAGGGTTTTCAACTTAGGTACAATAGGGGCCTGCATGTCTCTCGGGAGGCAGAGTTGATGGACAGCAGGGGTTGCAGGGGCTTCTGGTTGAGGGTTCAGGGTGTAGGGTGTAGGGTTGGAGGGGGTGATGGGTGGCTCCAAGCTGGGCTATAGGGCCTGGAAATCTATGGGCTCGCTTCTGGGTCTGTGCGAACCTTCCGCTACCCACACAGCTAGCCCTGAAACAGTAAAGGCCAGATCCGAATCCCGAAAAGCCCTAAAACCCCTAAACCCCCTAAAACCAAAAAAACCCTGAAACCCCTTAAAACCCTACACCATGACAACAGGGCTATAAAAACTGGGCTGCCGAAGTACAACACGGCTATCATACTGGGCTACCCCTAAAATCCCTAAAAAACCTAAACCCCCCAAAAATGCTAAAAACAAACCCTGAACCAAAAGGGTACCCTCTTAAAAACAAGGTATGTACTGGGCTGCCAAAAAAAGAGGCTCATCCCGCCCATCCAGAAGCTGGCCATGTCGCCGAAGATGCCGAGCGAAGGTGCCAGTGGGTCTTTCGGGCTGAACGCCTCACATGTGTTTTTCAGGCTTGTAGTTCTTTGGGTAGGGTCTAGGGTTTAGGCTTTGGGTAGGGTCTAGGGTTTAGGGTTTAGGGAAAAGGGCTGAAGGTTTAGTTTGGGGTACATGCAGGAGTGGCCGTAGTTCAGAAAATTGCCGGTAGTTCGCCTGCAGGAAGGACGCTTCAGTTGGAAGTGTTTGCCACTTTCCCAGTCACTCTGAGCTCCTCAGGGTCGAGCCTATCGGGGTGTAAAAGTCAGTAGGGGGGTTTACGAAAATAAGGGACATCTAATAGTATTGACCCCAACATAGTATGATCCCCTTACAATAAGGAATATCGTAAGCCCCCATGAAGGACGGGCTGCATTTCCGTTTCAGTGTTCTTGCTTTTTGGAGCCTCCGCAGCTTGTTTCACCGAATGCCGCAGTCGTGAAGCCGCAGGGTTCAGCAGGGATTCGGGGTTTAAATAAGAGCAGGTACCGTAAATGAAGGCCCAAACGCTAAGCCATACACCCCTAACCCGAAGGAGTTCTAAAATCCTGGCTGGAAGCGTGTTAAGCAATATAAAGGAGGTCAGGGTCTAAACGGTGGTGTGAACGAAGTGCCGCATCAAGGTGCAGGTCTTAGTGCTTGGGGGTGGCCTGGCCAACGAGTTCGTTTGGGTATGACTTCTACGGCTGCCATTGATAAAGTTTCGTGACGCTCTGCCTTCCGACGTCGTAGACAGCCCACTGTCGGCCCCCATGGTGAGGATAAGAGCAGAAAAGGGATCAGGATTTGGGGTGTGATGATAGGGTTGAGGCCTCACGTCAAGTCAGGCTCCGAGCCCTCTGGGAGCCGGCAGTCCATCCCTATAAGTAGCCGAGTGTGCATTCTATTCTTGGCGTTTGGTGTTTAGAGCTCAGGATTTGTGAGACTTGCTGATTTAGCCAGAGGTCCCCAACCATCAAGTGCTGCATCCAGTGACGAAAGGCAGTACTTTCGTCGATGTTTTGGTGTTCACACTGGCCCTGCGAGACGTGCCTAGACAAGTCGCAGACCTCAGCCACTTGAGTTTCGTCTTGCTAAGTGGGGGTCTTTAGGGGTCGAGCTTGGACAGGGGGTTCAGTTCAGCATGTTGATTCAGGGCTTCACTCTATGTAAACACTATATGCTCTGGACCCTAAGTAGACCTCCAACCTCAAAACGCTAAGCCAAACTCCGGACCCCCTAAACCCCTCAACCCCCAAACCCTAAAGCCGCAGGCGAGTCGGAAGAGGCGGCGGTCCAGGCTCTGCCATGGTCTTGGGAGTTTGCCCTCTATTCCTCAGCCCTTTGCCTGTAAAGCCTGCAAGGCTTGGGAATGATGGTTCAGGGTTTAGGGTTTAAGGGTATAGGGTTTAGTGTTTAGGGTTCAGGGTTGCGGGGGGGGGTTTGGTTGCAATTGCTTGGAGCATCTGTTGCTGGGTCTCCGCAGCACTAGGTTGATGGACACACGTTTCCCAGGTAAAGCAGACAAATACCCCGAACATCGTAAAGCCCCACATAAACCCCAAAGGCCTTGACATTATATGGATGCCCCGGGATTCAGGTGAATTTGCCAGGCATGACGAATCACTAGAAGACTGTTTTGGGTGGGCATTTTCGTGTAATTATGTAGGGGCCATAAGGGATTACTATGAATAGTTATTCCAAGCCCTACCTAAGTTGCAGTGGCGCGCCGGTGCTCTGAGCCCTAACCCCGTTAGGTGCCTCAGGGAAACACACAGGGTTTAGGGTTTAGGGTTTAGGGTTTAGGGTTTAGGGTTTAGGGTTTAGGGTTTAGGGTTTAGGGTTTAGGGTGTGAATTGGATTTCCCGGGCCTTACTCGTGGTCAGTCAAGTTGAAGAGCTATAAGGGCCATGTAAGGCTTACAAGCCGCAATCATCCTCAAGATGCAAGTGTGGAGCCATTAGTTCCATTCTGAGCACTTCAAAGGTGGCACCAATAGGGTTTAGGGTTTAGGGTTTAGGGCTTAGGGTTTAGGGTTTAGGGTTTAGGTTTATTTAGCTTTGCATGAAATCTCTACTTCGGGCTTGTCGGTTGATGTTGCAGGGCCCATGGAAAATCCACACAGGCCGGCACCGCCTCTTTCAAGCGAAATCTCGGGCCTGTTCGAGGCGGTCATACACATATAAACAAGCCCGTAGAAAGCTTTGTAGGGTTTATATATGTAGAAACGGAGAGAAAGAGAGAGAGAGAGAGAGAGAGACAGAGAGTCTATACAAACCCGATATGAGGAGGCGGACGAGGTGGAGGTGCCGACTTCCAATGCCCCGACCCCTACGGCCAATGTCGAGGAGTTGCGGCCACTGCATTTGCAGGGCTTCCGTGCATATTTCGTGCACCTAAAATATAGATATAGCAGACAAGCATGCAGAAGTAGCTTGGGAGATAGAGAAATTGTACTGGCCACACGGCTAAAGTTTCGGAAGTCAGCTGTGGGCGTAGGGTCCAGGTCTTAGCGTCTATAGGGGTTCCCGTGTGCCTGTGCAGCGTTGAGAGTTTCGATACCAAGTAGCAGGGCAGGGCTTCGTGCGCTCTCTACACATGGTTTAGAGTGTAGGGTTTCGGGTTTAGGGCCCAGGCCCGAAGATCCTCTGGCGAACCCCGGTCCAGCTTCGCTATTTCTTCGCACCTATGCACGTCTCGAGTTAAAGGGTTTAGGGTTCCGGTTTTGAGTTTCATGTTATTTTGAAGTTCAGGCTGCCCTGGTTGCTTTTTTGGGACCCCAGGCTGCGGCTAATGCGATACACATACGAGGTAGGTTTATTGCTAGCCGTCCTCACACCCTAGCACCATCCTGTGTCAGCTGCAAAGCAAAACTTGGGGTCTATAAGTCTATAAGGTCCTGTAAGTCCATTCATGAGCGACGAAGGGCCCAGGGCTCGAAGGGTTGTTCTTAAGTAGGGGTGCTCTGCAAACCTAAATTTGGAACAACCCCTCCATTTGCCCTGGAGGAGAAAGGAATGTGGGAGGATGCGAGTGGGCGCATGGGCTATAAGCGTTTCTGCACCCGTGCTATAAGGGCTTGCGGTAGGAGTTACGAGTCATCTTGTCCAACTCGTCTCTTGAGCCGCCGTTTTTCAGCCTCGGGTGTCAGATGCAGTTTCTCGGGAAGTTGTCTAAGTGCGTAGCACCTGCTAGCCTATCGGGTTATGGTTTCAGGGTCCCCAACCCTAAAACACCCTAAACCTTCAACCTGAAACCTTAAATCCTATAGTTGCTGCAGCTGCAGCTGGAGTTGTATGTAACATGGGCGCTCGCCGGCGCCTCTCTTTGGCAGACTTCCTTGTCTCGGCTGATGTCGCTCCTGAGGCAGCCTTTCATGGGTTTTGAGTCTAGGGTTCAGGGTTTAGGACACAGGTTCCAGGGTTCTGTTGGGTTTGCGGGTATAGGTTTCTTGAGACACGCCCGACAGAAAGCCCAAGACTGGCTTAGCACAATCTGGTAGCTTTCTCATACTGCACGCATCAGCGTTACAGAGGGCAGTTCACTCTTGCTCCCGGGCCAGACATTTGGTGGCCTCAATAGTTTGTCTGGCTAGATTTCGTGCTTTACTTCCTTAAACCTTCAAGGCCCCACACTCAGACGGGGGCTTCTCTCATCCGGGAGTCAAGAAAGAAACGCAAACTTCAACCCGATTGAACACTACCTAGGCCAAAACCCCAAACTTGGAACTAAACCCCAAACAGATCCAAAACCCTAACAACGCTAAAGCCTGAACCCCAAACAAACCCTAACACCTTAAGCGGCCCGAAACCCTAAATCTTAAACCCTAAACCCTAAACCCTAAACCCTAAACCCTAAACCCTAAACCCTAAACCCTAAACCCTAAACCCTAAACCCTAAACCCTAAACCCTAAACCCTAAACCCTAACTTAGAAACACCACACGCAGACCGACCTTTGGACCGACACCTCCGGCCCTTCGCAGAAGCCAACGAGCTTCGCTAAGTCGCTTGGCAGCCCTAAACGCTAAACCCTGAACCCTAAAGCCTGAACCCTGAACCCTAAACCCTGAACCCTGAACCCTAAACCCTAAACCCTAATGTAGAAGAACTTGGTACACAAGTGGTACCCTCTTTCACTGGTTGTTGGTTCTGGGTACCCCTTATGGAGAAACCAACCAAACACAGGGTACCCTTATTACAAGATGGTTTCTGGGCTACCACGATCATATGATCTTGTGTTCTTTATTGCTGCACAACCAGTATTATTGCTTCGACTTTCTCTATGTCGTTTTGTATGCTTGTTAGCTTGCTTGTTGTTGTGTTGTCGTTGTTAGTGTTTGGTTGGGTGCAGGGTTTCGGCTTGTTGTGTGCTATGTTTTTGCTTAGGGTTTTGAGTTTTGTGTGGGTTTGGCACATAGCGCAGGTTTCTAGGGAGTCTTTGGGGTTTGAGGGCTCGTTGCTTTTGCCCTTTGGGGCATTGGAGTTTAGAGCATCCGGGGCCGGGCTCGGGCACTAGGGCTGCGAGAAGGCTGTGTGGGTTGGGGTTGTCGCGTTTCCTGGACTGTTTAGGGCCGTAAGGCTTTAGGACTTCTTCCCATAGACCCCAAAACCCTAAACGTGAATCCTACACGCATCTGAAAGCTCGAAAGCTCACGACCGAAGGGTTTGTGTATTGTGGGTTTGGGGTTTAGGGGGCCCCTCGAATAAGCCCTTGGACCAGACCAGGGGACGGTTCATTTTGCAAAGGCACAAGGAGCTGACCGAAACGGCCTGTGTACAACCTTCAGCTGAAAGGGCAATGGGGGCCTTCAAAACTTCCGCGTTTCCGCTTCGTGACTCAGACGCCTGAAGGAGGGCGCCCGCCTACCCCAACAGACAAGTGAGTTGGGACGGGCGAGTTTTGGGTTTTGGGCTGAAAGCGTCCGAATCCACAACAAAAACCCTACGGTTCACGGGCATTGGCCATGCTCCTCAAGCGCGTGAATGTGCCTTTGAGGACAGGTTCGCAGTCGCCTTGGTGGCAGGAGGTGCAGGACCCTCTGGGGAGACATTATCTTGTCGCACTCGTAGTGAACAGTATCCATATGGGGGGGGGGGGGGGGGGGGGGCGTTTCTGAGTTTCAGGTTCACGGGCCAAACCTTCAGGGCCGTAGGCTTGGGGCTGAGGGCCTGGGACTTGCGATTTTTGCTTCCCAAGGAGGCACCCTACCTATACACTCACGGCTATCCTTGCGAGGCTTTGAGAACTATTTAGGGTTTATAGGGTAGTCAGGGTTTGTAGGGTTTACAGGGTTTACAGGGTTTACAGGGTTTAGAGGGTGTTGTTAGGGCTTTTACATACACAGGCTTTCGGGTTTCGGAATTGCACAAGAAGCGCCAGGACTTCCTCGGTGCTAGCGGCGAACCGCGTGCTCAGGCGATCGAGGACTCCTGGCTTCGGCGATGTTGGTAGGGTTTAGGGTTTAGGGTTTAGGGTTTAGAGTTTAGGGTTTAGGGTTTAGGGTTTAGGGTTTAGGGTTTAGGGTTTAGGGTTTAGGGTTTAGGGTTTAGGGTTTAGGGTTTAGGGTTTAGGGTTTAGGGTTTAGGGTTTAGGGTTGGGCTTATATAATTAGGATACTTCATCTTTTCCCTTATTGGGTTTCAGAGGGCCTTCCAGAGGGTTTTCTATGGGCCATCCTCGGTGATGTTGGTAGGGTTCGGTTTAGAGGGCTCTGTGATTGGCACCCGAAGTAGGCCCTTATTTCCTTTTTTTTTGGTTGGCGTTCCCTCATAATCCCCTTAAATCCCAAAAAGGGGTATCCTTTTATTCCTAGGTTACTCTTGAATCTAGGTGAGGGGTCTAAATGATGCATACGGTCTGCAGGGCTAAGGCTTCTCCGTGGGCCCAATACTCCATTAGCAAAAGGGAAAAACCCTTAAACTCGCAGGCATCTTTTTTTCAGGCTGCCAATACCCCTTGATGAAGGAAGATACCTTAAACTGCTAGGGATCATCGTAAACTAAGGAATGCTCTTTGAACCTTCACGGGTTTTTGTAACCAGGGCATGCTCGCTTAGTCAATGGTGTTTTGGTAGAACCATACCATGGCTCCGCCTAGAAGTCGGATGCGCCGAAGCCCCAAGACCAGGTAGTTCCGTTTAGGGTTTGTAGGGTTGGTCTGGTTTAGAGGGTTTAGGGTCCGGCCGTTGCCCCTGAACGATAAAGCCCCCCAAGCCCACAAAGATTTGAGACGGCTTTTTGGAGATCAGGTCCTAGGGTGTGGGTTCAGGGTCTGGGGCTTGAGGTTAGGCTTTAGGGAGAAGGGTTTTGGGGGTTTTGTGGGGCTGAGAGGGGCGAGAGAGTTTAGGGCTCCGGATGTCGGATGAGTCGGATTAGGATCTCGGCGGCTTCAAACATTAGGGTCTCCCACTAAACTCCCCTCATAGAGGCGGCTCGTGTTTTCTTTGTGGGGAAACCCGTCTAGGATTTCGGGTTTGTTGAGTTTTAGGCCCCTTATCCCTTTTCAACCCAAATGGGCAAAACAAAAATGGGTTTTTGAAACCCCTCAAAACCCCAAACCCTACCTTCGTAGGCAACCTACTTTGTGGTACTTTACTGTAACTTTAGATCCTTTCCTTTTTTGGGTTTCTTGGGTTTCTTCTTAAAGGCAGCTAAAAGTATAATTTATAGCTACCCTCCTGAGTGCAGCCAAGCCTAGTGACTCGAGACAGGAGCGGGGCTTCTTCGGTGGCCACTTCAGTGGCCACTTGGGCGGCGTCTCGCTACCCCATGCCCCGGGCTGGAGGAAGGGGGGGGGGGGGGGGCCCTTCAAGTTTAGGGTTTAGGGTTTGGGGTTTAGGGTTTAGGGTCTAGGGTTTGGGGTTTAGGGGTTTAGGGGTTTTGGGGTGTTTTGGCCCGTTGGGCCGTTGGGCTTGGGCATCTGCAAGTGTTTGAGACGGTTCTGCATGTTGACTTGAGGTTTAGACGGGTTCTTAGGGTGCTCTCGGGGTTTGTCTCGGCCTTTCACAGGGGCTGTTGGTCTAGGTTTAGGGCCTGGTTAGCGGGCTGTTGGGTTGAGGGTTTAAAGTTCGGGGTTGGGGTGGCGATTCGAGGAGTTCATGACATCGAAACAGAACCAAACAAAAAGAGCTCGGAGTGCATGGGAGTTGCGATTCATGTCAGGGCTTCGTGTGTAAGAGTACGGATCTTTTGAATTCAGGGCTTGGGGCTTTGTAGTGCGGCTTGTGTGTAGGTGTTGATTATATGAGTGACCCTCTAAGGACTTTTCAACCCCCTTTGCAAACAACCCTAAACCCTAAACCCTCAAGACGACGCAATAAATAGAAATTGTATGTAATGAATTTGTCT